GTTCGTGGCTTGAGCAACTTGAATGTAGCCACTTCAGCGATTACTTGGAAATCACTACACCCCATGATGTTGCGCGGGGCTCCACCAAGTCCTCGACGTCGAATATCCAGGCACTAGCGGCCTTCACGACGCGCTTGGGCCCCTGCCATTTGATTGCCAGTTTGTTCGGGGCTGCGACAACCGACGCGACCAGCACAAAATCGCCAACGGCGAAATTCGGAGGCTTGGCTCGAGCAGCACGACGGGCACGCGCCTGCATCCAGCGCTGATCACCAATGCCTGCCACATCTCTGTGCATGGCTTCCAACGCCTCGGCGGTTGACGATAGTTGCTCCTGGAGCTTTGCCTGCAGTGTTCCTGCATCCATTTCGGGGACAGATCTGGACGAAAAGATCGTTGACAGCGGGGTGGTGGCCGGAAGTCCCATGAACACGGTGACCGGAGCCCGCCCGCCTAATTTGTCGGATGGCTGATGGTTCAAAGCTGCTTGCACCATCCCAACGATGCTTTCCCATTTCGCAGGGGAGAGTTGTCGCTCGCTTAGCAGCGCTCGCATGCACTTCAACAGCAGTTGATTTACCACTTCCACCGTGCCATTTGCCCACGGGCAGTAGGCTGTGGTGAAGTGGTGGTTGGCACCGACAGTCTTGGCGAGTTCTTCGATGACTTGATTCTTGAAGTGGGCTCCTTGATCGGAGACCCACTGTTTCACAAAACCATAGCGGTTGAACCATGTTTGCAGCGCCGCAGCGCAAAAACTGGCGTCCGGGTTCGCCGTTGTCCACAGCTCCACGAACCCGCTAAAATCGTCCTTCATCACTAGTATATACTTGTTGCCCGAGTCTTCATCTTCTGGTAGGGTGAGGTAATCAAAATGCAGCACCTCGTTTGGTGCGGTGGCGTGTATCGCTGGGCCGTATGGGCGTGGCTCTCGTCCATCACGCGTCGCGACGCAATGAATGCATGACTTCACAAACCGAGACACATCCTCGCGGAGTGTGGGCCACCAGCACCAAGCAGAAATAGCCGACACAGTGGTGCGTTCCCCTCGGTGCCCGCTGTGCCCCGCATGCGCCACGACACAAATCCTCGAGATGAGATTGCCGTTACCTGGGATCCAGACTCTGTCACCTCCAAACACATAACACGCCTTACTTTCGTTCCACGTGACCAGCTCTGGCCTTGATTCCTGGAGTCGCTGAGTGGCGCAGATCTCGGTGAGCGTCGGCCACTCGAAAGAACTCTCTGTGAGCGGCGCTACAGGCGGCACAACCACTACTTGACACACTCGAGCGACCGTCAAATCGATGGGAGTCGTCGGGCTGCCCCACCTGCTCAGCAGATCTGCCCAGACGTTGTCTTCTCAACGAATGTGTTCGATGATGTACCGATACGTAGTCATAGTCATTGACCAGCGCTGGAGCTTGGTACCTCTGCATACGCTGTCAGTTGCGAACGGATTGAACATATAAACCAGGTTCCTGTGGTCGGTTAAGATATGAAAACCTCCGGAACGTAGCAGCAAATACTCCAGCCGTTTTGCCGACTCGACAATCGCGTAGGCATCTTTCTCGATAGTAGGCCACTTGAGCTGCGCTCCTGTGAATTGACCACTCAGGAAAGCAAGCGGACCATGCTCCTGCTCACTCAACGGCTTACCCAGGTCCTGCTCAGGCACCTGAGTGCAAATGGCTCCCCATAAGTCTTGCGACGCGTCGCAGAACAGGCACACGGCTCGAGCGGGATCCGGGTGTGCGAGAGGCACCATCTTCAACAGGGCCTTGCGAACCAGCCCCAACGCATCCACATGCACGCGACTCCAGCCAATTTCCTTGAGAGGGATCTTGGAAAGTTGCTTTGATTTTCGGCTTCCGGTCTTTGTCGCGGCAGCGTCCACAATGGCCAGTAGTGGTGCGGCAAGGGCCGCGTACTGCGGGATATGTTGCCTCATCCAGTTGATAGCACACATTAGCTGCTGTAGTTCGCCGGCATTCGCGGGGTCCGGCATCTCGGCCAGGCCTTGCACCCTCGACGGGCAGTGACGGACACCTTCCAACACCTCCAGGAGGTTGACATGGTCAGCCGCGTAGCCCAAGATGTCGTCAAGCCAGGCAAGCACGCCGTTGTAGAGGACGGGTCGAAACACCTCCTCGACCACGTGCTGGCAGTAGGCAACAGAGTCTGTCCCACACATCGACACCCTTGTAGGTGTAATGATTCCCCTATGCGTCATGATGGATAACATCTCCTGAGAGGCGGGGTCCAATGGCAGCTGCCAGTATCCCCGAAACCAGTCAAGCGTGAAGTAGCAGGTCGATCCTTCCAGCAATCCGAGGGCTGACTCCAGGATAGGCATCGGCCACAGGATTGGCTCCGTCCTAGCATTCACCGCTCTCATGTCCACAGTCATTCGGTAGGTCCCGGGCTCGCTCTTGGAAAGAATACGCGGGGGAGATGCCCAGCGACTCGAAGGGCTGATGAAAGCTAGGCCGTTATCCAGCAGATCTTGCACGTGCTGGTCTAGGTATGCCATGTGGGCCGGCGGGTATTGCCGAGCACTGCTCCTCACGGGAGTGGCGCCTTCACGTAGCCGGATGCGAAGCGGTTCTACCCGCACTGGAGGGTCCTGTCCAAACTCCACACGAAACACATCCTGGTAGTCCTGGAGTATGCACTTCAGCCGCGCGACTTCAGCAGGAGCTAATCCTGCTTCTGCGGCCTCGACGACCCAATCCGCTAGAATTGCGGCAACCGGCGCTTGAGCATTGTCACCCGCAGCTCCTAGGTCTGGCGTCGCCGCTCGCAGTTCTGCATCATCGATCTCGACAGCCGTTGGCAGTGCTTGGGGAGGGGGAGATTCTTGAATGAGATGGATGGCACCTCCGTCGGTGCCACTGAGGTCCTCCATATCCCAATCGCGGCTGGTGTCACACGCTTGCGCCAGGATAGCGTCCACTGAATAGCCGAGTCGTTCCATTACTGGACGGGACAGCACCAACGTAGACTTCTCTTCGTCGCGCTCGAACACCCACGCTGGCGTGTTGCGCAATAGCAACGGGCCCGCTGTTGTCTGGACTTGGATAGAGCCGAACCGGACACGCTTGGTGACTTCGAAATGACTGCCATCAAAGGTAGCCAGCAGGCAGGGATTGCACATTTCTTCTTGCACCGTAACACCTCGACGCTGCAGCTAGCGTATCAATCCTCGGCTCGCCCCGTTAACATCCGCTCCCGAATCGAGCAGCACGCTCCCCAGGTCGAGGACATTCTCCAGGCGTGCCAGGCAACCACTCCCGGGCTGCAGGGGGACCTCTCGGAGCTGTAGGGCCTTGACGTGGTGGACTGGAGCAGCGGGCGCTGCTACTGATGGCACGCGTTTTTCCGCCATTCTCGCAGAAGCTGCTCTGCTTCCCCGGCACCGGCGCGGGGACAATCTTTCACTCGTTGTTCCTCGCTACCACACTCCAGGCAGGTCCGCTTGCGGCGTGCCGGAGGTGTCGCTTTTACCGGGGCAGCTCTGGTAGGCGGCGGACCTGGTTTCTTAGCGGGCAGCTTACCCGGAGGTGAAGCCTTGGGACTCGCTCGAGGATCCCAGCGCACGTACTCCTTGCAGCTGGTGCGCAGCCACTTGATAAACGCCACGACGTCCTTAGTGAGGGGCCTGTTTGACTCCCGGGCCAGCCCGTTCTTCACTGTGCGCCGAAATTGATCGGGGGCCAGGGCATCCGTGAGGTAGCCGACGATCTCCTTCGGCTCCTTCTCCACCATCCACTCCATGTTCTCCTTCTCGAGGAGTTGGTACATCTCATGCGCAAGATTCGAGACACGCGAATCTGCATCCGCCAACTGGACGTCCATGGCGAGCTTGGTGCTCATAAGTGCCTTTACCTTGTCAAAATCGAGCTCACCCGAAATGCGCCCTTCCCAAAAGTAGTTGATCCAATCCTCCTCGGTGATGTCGTCGAGTGGCTTGCAGATGTCAAACAGCGCGATAAGGCGACGACGCTCATCTTCGACACACGCGCCCACAGGCATACGGAAAGGCCGAAAGAATGCCGTCTCCAAGGCGGAAAGCTGCCGACAGTACGCCTCATACTTCTTCATGAACGTCTGCTTGTCAGTCGATGTAAAGCCCCGGAACACCGGTGGGACTGGTAGAGTTGGCATGGTCTGCACACGCTTACTTGGCGGTGTTTCTTCTTTCTCCTCAGCGGGCACGCCGTCGCCGTCGCCGCTCACGTCCACAATGTCGATGTCCACGTCGCCGGGATAATCACGTCGCGGCAGCGCAAAGGGGCCACCAGCATGAGACGAGAAGCGTGGACGAGGACGGCGGGGATTAGCATCTTGAGTCGCCGATGTCGTCGCGGTTGGTAGGGGACCTGTGGTCTGGCCTTCACCAGCCTCCACAGGGAGTTGCGGGGCCAGGGGTTCAGCTGGCGGGTCTTCACCGTCATGAATTGTGAACCCAGACATCACGGAGCGAGGGGTTCAGCGGTGACTTGCACAGTTGGGAAAGCGCTTGCACAGCGGTGAGTCGACTTGCACAGCGGTGAGTCGACTTGCACAGCCGGAGAGGGTAACTTGCACAGCGATGGGTCGACTTGCACAGCCGAAGAGCGAAGCTTGCACAGCGGTCCTTTGCAATTAGTACACAGTACTAAAGCTAGCTTTGTTCTGCGCCCCCGGTGTTTGGGCCGGGGCTTGTGGCCAAGAAGGTAAGTTGCAGAGTGAGTGAATTAGAGAGCTTAGAAAACATGCAGTTGAGACCTTACGAGCGGAACCTCCGTGGCCGTGCCTTCGTCCTGCAGGGCCTCCATGGCCTCGTGTCCTTCTCGTGGGGGGACAATCACAGATGACATGTATCCAGCTTGGTATCCGTCACCCAGGTGAGTCATCTTTGTTGACCAACACCGTTCCTGATGCTCATCATCTGGGGGCGTCATCTGGCTGGCCGCCAGAACAGTATCCTCGTTCGCTATCGTGGACGTGACCCTGAATTGGCAAGCTCGAAACTTCAATCGCATCTCCTGGTTCGGCTTCCTAATGGATGTTTTCGTTGTGTTATCGAATTCTTGAAACCAAGAAGATTTTAGTTCCTTCAGCGAGTTCTATGAGCCCAACGGTGAATTAATACGGAATGTGGTAAATAATCTTGAAATTAATAGTCAATCTAAAATGTGTGAGTTGAGTGTCTGCTAGTTTGTGGAGGCGTCCACGAATCTTTGAAGTGTCTCCATGGCAGCTTCTACTGACGGACCTTCGCAGCTTTGCTGCATTCTCAAAGCTTGAGCCTGCATCATACTCTGCTGCTCTTGTAAATGTTCAAGCAGTTTTGTAGTCGCATCTGTAAGTTGCTGCATTTGTGTTTGGTGTCCTCGGAGGAGTACAAGTCCATAAAACAGCAAACCCAATAGTAACCACTGCATAAGTGACCGCGGCGACTGCGCAATATCCACAACACTCGATCCGGTAGATTCCGTTTTAGAAGACGCTTGGTCTTCTATGCTTGTAGGACTCTCAAGCTTAGTCTGTGCACGTTTGCGTACCGGGTGAACGGCGCTCCCTGGTTCAGACTCGAGTTCATTAAAACTGTCAGCAGACAACGCCTTGAGTGTCGGGGAGAGCGGAACGACACGATTCCTTTGGGACTCCAAGAACTCGATCGCTTGTTTCGCCCAAGACTCGAGTGCCTCCTTAGATTCCGATCGCGTGGACGAATTAATCTGAGACTTGAACCACGTCGCCTTAAGAAAATTCACCACCAGTCCCACTTGTACGTGACAGTAATTGTTACCATCACGGGAGAAAACATAGCGCATTTCCACTTCGAAGTAGTCACTAAACGGGATTTTGCTCATCCGGTTTAACTCCGTGATGACAAAGCGATCCCATTTGTCCCCACCATGTGAGCTCTTATCCAGACGGAATCGCTGCGTTCTCGTGCATCCAGCATACGGTGGTAAACCGGGGAACGAGGTCTTGGGTGGGTGTTGAGAGCGCACAATGCGATAGAGCGTATAGTCGTCCTCTTTCGAGATCTCAAAGCCCTTTCGAATCTCCGCAGTCTTAACAGCGTCATTCTTGTCAATAGGTTTCCACGACTCAATGTCGATGTCAATATCGCGTGCTTTTTCCATGTTCGAGTGCGAGAATTCCTGACCAGGACCATCATTCCACAAGAGATCGAAGACTCGTTTAACGTCTGCACGCATTTCGCAGTCCAGAAGAACCGTCATCTTCTCAAGAAGCGGATCCGGAGGCAGCGGCTCGAACGGTTCTTCGTCACTTGTCGTTGATTTGTCATCAGTATGACCATCCTCTCCAATGTCACTAAGAGGGACGTCGGTGTCGTCGTCATCGTCGTCGTTTATGAACCCCACGGTCGAGATAGCAGACGAAGACGACAACGGCGGGTTGGCTGAGGCCCCGCTACTCCCGATATGCTCGGAAATCAACTTGTACGAGCGTCTGCGATCCAGCGCTTGTCTGCGCAGTTCCTTGGAGCTCGGAGACTTCCCTGGACCCGAATCTTTCAGCTTGCTGGCCTCCTGGTACGCTCGGATAAGCTGATCTAACCGCAAGAAGCAGGTATCGCGTAGCCCGTTAAATTCGGCCAGAAAGAACGTCTCCTTCCGCTTCGTCTTGACTTGCAACCCATTGATATAGTAGAACTGTGGCTTCAGTAGCGATACAATCTGGGCGTACGCTACTTTACGCTTCTTAGCGTCCACGTAACTCTGGAAGCACAGACGCTTCCGAGTAAGCACCAAATGGCCGTAAAACGGGGTCGTCTCGAGGAATAGAGCGCAGTTAAAGATCGACACCGGGGCCTCATCTTCTGACAACTCAAAGTCGCGGACTATCACCTCATTGCTCGGTGGTTGCAGTCCGCTCCACGTGACGCTCGTGCTCTTTACCTGTTTCTGGAAGTTCTGGATACGATGAAAGCAACCGTCGCACACGCGCAGTTCTCCTCGTGTTAGATAGGCTTGATACGGCACGATGATTGTCTTGGTAGTGCAGTTAGCGCAGAAGGAGCCACCGCAGTTGCGACAGTGGTGTCGGCCTTTAGACAGTAGCGAGCCAATGTCCTCGCGACAGGATTCGCACGCGTACATGTTGGCGAATGGCGGTGGAGGCAGGTTGGAGTTCATCACTACAACGTTCAGAGCTTCCAGATCTTCTTCCACGACACTACCCATTGATTTTTTAGGGGTCATGGGCGCTGGTATGTTGCGGAACAGCAACTTGTCGATCAAATTGGACGAACTGGAGTCCGACCTGGCTTCCAGTTCGTCCTCTTTGGCGATAATAGAAGCATTCTTTGGAGATAGAATGGCTTTAAGAGCCAAGTTGTCACTGGGTAGGAAGATCTTTAGGTTCGTGTCTCCACGTAGTGGGTTATTGACACGGGCATGTGCAGACACGTGGCGGTGTAATGATGCAGCGGACGAGGCCGAGCCGGCGCCACTGGACGTCGATAGCGACGAGCACGACGCAGCACGTGACGTCTCCACGAAGTGTTCGTGAGTTTGCTCCAGCTGCTGCAAATGCGATGCCACCGAGTCGTCTGGATGCTCGTTAGTGGCTGCGTCTTCGTCTCTGGACGTGGCGGTGGCGTCGAGCTCCTCGTCCTCGTCTTTTGGCTCCGGGAATTGCTGCATCTGTAGAGCAGACATGGACTTGGAATGCGTTAAGCTCGTTGCGGTCTCTGGAGCCTCTAGACGCTGCTCGGACCGTGAGCGCTTGGGCGACGTGGCCACGGTCTCCATTGAGATATCGACGCTGAGAAGGATCCTGGAGAGGATAAATGCAGCTGAGGTTAATCCTGCAGACAGCACGTAACGGATGCGGCTCCACGATCCCAATGGGAAAGTAATATCAGGAAGGAGTGTAGTGGCCGTTGTCTAGCGCGTGTACTGATTGCCATGACGACGCATGTATCCTCGGCCTGGAAGCACTCGCGCATGTAACAGACAATGTGTGAGCGCTGGATAAATCTGTGACGTGAAATGGTGTGGTGCACGTAGAAGAAATAACGCAACTCAGTAGCTTTGGTGGTCTTATTCCAAGGAGAATGTGTGGTGATATACTGTTTTAACGAGAACACTGTTTTTGCGACACTTTGTGGTCAGATAAGGACACTTGCATCGTGCCGTCGAAGGAGGAGAAAGCGACCGACATAAATAAAGCATGGCCGTGGTACATTTGCTCTGCGCGGCATGCATCGCTAGGTCGCGAGAAAGAGAGCGAACAAGTGCGAATGATGATCTTGTCGCGCAGGGCTACTGCACATTTCTGTCAGTTGTGTAGTTTCGCGTTGTTCAGCTGAAACAGCCTTGGATCCGTTATCATAGGTTATTAGACCAAACGAGGTGTTAGGTGAACGGAATTTTAGTTAATCTAGTTGAAGTGGTCTTTCATGTGGTCGATAGAGTGACGGTGATAGGAGGATATTCGAAAATAGAGGTTTTCCCAAGCAGCAGAGCTCTTTACTGAAGACGACGATTTGCGGCGGGGAAAGACAGACGCGCAAGGATACATGCAAGGATCTCGCTGAGCAGAGACAAAATGAGAGCATCGCGGTCTCGAGAGGACTCTTGCAATGCCGATGTTGTCACAGGGTTCCACTCGTGGATACTGGCTATGAATGATCATCACCTGGGCGAGCGGAAGTGTGGTTGAAGGCAACTGCAACAATCGCGGACTGCTTGACGAGGCTGATGAGTGCGCGGCTGAACAATAGGAAGCTTGACTGACACGTGAAGCCGTATCCGGTAGGAGCTTCTGCCTCTCGGTCACTTCAATATTTGTCTGGCGAAGACGTAGCAGCAAGCCATCCACCAGCTTGGGGCGGATGCTGCTGGCGCTAACTTTAAGAGTAGCCATGCTTAGTTTGAAGTTCCATGACATTGCAACTACCGAAAACATGAACGGTTGGCTCGAAAAACTCTTTGAACTGCATCAGAGTACCCGGATACTATCCAGATATTTTGTTATAAGCGATAAAAAACGAGAGTTACTGTCCAAGCCCTACAAAGCCGTTTGCCACTTAGGTCGCAAGTGATCATTCACCGACCGGATAAGCGGCGCCGAAGCGTGGGCCGAGTTGCCGCGGCCGCCATGCAAGTTCTCGTCCAGTGTGAAGCACATGAGCAGCATGTTAATCGACGTCTCGTAAATCTACAAAATGTCACTAGGTTAGTATGGTAAATTACATTACTATCGTCCAGAAACTACCAGCTCACCGTCATAAAAGCGTGTGCTACGCTGTAGGAGAAGAGCATGATGACAATCAGCGGTAGAATAGGCGAAGGAGCCTAAAGTCACAGGACAGCGTGAAGATCAGATCGGAGTATCCTAAAAATCCACTCAACCTCTGCCACGTACATCTTCAAGGAGGAACCACGCTATGAGTCCCGTGGTGGTGCATACGATCAGTTTACCGAGGAGAACCGACGCATGCCCGATCCGACTAAGTGCTCCGACCCGGATCAAGTTGGACGAAATCAACGTGTACGCCATCTTACGAATAAAAAATATCCCGTCAGTACTGATCAAGAAAATCGTTGCTTAAAGCAGTACCTTTCCAGATGTGTAGAAATCCGTGCCTTGGATCGCAGTGACGTACACTGCTTCCTTGCAAATGTACTTGAGACAATGCTTAAAGCACCAAATACAGCACTAAAGAACACAAGGTATAAGAATCATACAACCACCTCAAAAAAAAAAAAAAAATACGCACGTACACAGCAGCATTTGGCGGCGAACTCCGTGACTGCGTTGGCGTCAAATTCGTTCTTGTTTTCGAGGTACAAGAAGAACGAGCGGATGTGTTCTACCGGCGCTACCGATGCCGAGCTCAACGCTAACGTTCCGAGGTGATACTTGATCGTCGTATGCGCTGAATAGGATACTGGATCGGGTTCTTCAAACTCCTTCAGACCCGTGATTCTGTTCTCCGGTGAGAAATACCATAACGACATCGCAGTAGCCGTGATCATCTCTCCAATTGCCAGCACGAAATTCACCGACCAGTACATGCCCCAGAGATGATAGAGAAACAGCCACCGTAACTTGGTACTCACTTGGAATGACTCCGTAACCACACGGATCGTTGACGGTGAAGTAGCTGATATAGTCGCGATACGACTCGAAGTCTCTCCAGCTCCGAAGATGCAGACAGTGACGAGAATGCCCCAGCCGAACAGCAACACGAGCAGCACGTAGGAGATGAACGGGAGCACCAGAAGCCTCTTCAGTTGGGATAACGCTCTTGCTGCATGGGAAATAAAGGCGCCAGCTAGTAGGAGTCGAGACATATTGACCATTGCAAACAGGAAGAACAGAATGGCAGCGCAGCACATGACGACTGCACTGATCTGCAGCGAACTTAGCATAACGGGGTCGTTCTCGTACGATAGCGGGTCTGACGCCGCATGTAGCAGTCGATAACTGCAGTATACGAGCGTTGATTCAATTGCTGCAGTCGATAACAGTACGCTAATGCAACCGCAATACCGTAACAGCACCAAATACAGCCCCGCTGTCGATAAAGAGATGGCTGTCGCGATCATTAGAACCTGCCAGCACTGTAACCGATAGCGTCAGCACCCTAAAACCCATTAAATTGTGAGACACGTTTCCTTACATTTCCTAGTGCACCCACAAAGCGCCCTAACGTGTCCTGTAATTGTCGGATCATCACCTGTTCCGAATTTACTGAATACCAATACAAAGCGTTAATATCTGCACAATTATTATCACTTCCAACCGCTACCAACCTTCCGTCGGTGCACACACGTACGCCCATCGATGAGTAGCGTACGATGTGAACTGAATTCGGTGCATTTCGCGCGATCCATTGACTCTTTTCCCGGATTCCAAGGGTAAATCCACTGTCATGATCTCTCCATCTCTGCGGGGACATCTATCCACGCAGAAGCCGAAATCCGGATTCTCCATGTAGTCTGGGAAGTACACGAACTGATGCTGCCCACACGGTTGACCCTGGAAGTCCACGCCGCTTTTTATCTCCTTGGCGAAGCTCACATTACTCTTGTGTGTGAAGGCAGTGATGGCTAGTGCCACCATCCCGATCCAGTAGGTGGCGAGACAGCCCAGGAAGAAGATGTCGGTGCACTGGCGACGATGCTGTTCACTCTGGTGGATGCTGCGTCGCAATTGATCGGAGGAATGGCCGGTGCTGGGCGATAGAGCGGCGGCTGTGCGTCTACCCGGACTTCCCGGTCCGAGCAGCGGCTGACGTTCGCCCAGTAACTCACCGCTTGCCATGCTGCTGTTGCTGTTGCTCCTGCTGCTCTGGCTGTGGTTGAATTCCTCGCGGTTGCTGAGCCACGGCGACGACATGGGCATCAAGTGAGCTCTTCGGCGTGGAAGGAACAATGAAAACTGGAAAATAGTATCTTGAGCGACATGACTACAAAAAAGGGTACGTTAACTTGGTGGGTGTAAGGACTCTGATTTGGTAGAAGGACCCACTTATGGTAAATAGTACGAATTGTTGACTCACATCAAACCTCGCAATATTCAGCTTCTTGAGGCATACTATCTTAACAATTTTGTGCAGGTACTTGTCACAAAGGATGACCTACCAGTTGATAGCATGCAAGCAAGTGAACTCACCCGATCTGTCGACGCTGCATATTATTAATAAGTGAAGGCCTTCAATGTTCGCCGCATAATTTCAGTCACAATAATACACGGTGGGAAACGAATCTCTTCAAACGATTCATTTCAGGAACACCAACGATTTTTTGCTCCGGAACAAGTGTGATAAGTTCGTCCTTTGTACTCGGTATCATGATCGTTTCACAAAACAGTGTAACCTGAAAACGAGAATACATGTCTAGCCTATCGTGTACTTACCAACAGTGGTAGTGCATGTGACATATCGAGATAGGAACATGTACAAGTACATGCATATTATATGATGCACGTGCTTTACTGAAAGTATTTGTTTTGCATGTGCCATTATTACACAATACTAGTACTCCGGAGTATTACATGCATGTACGATCGCGCTCCAGCGAGCAGGACGTCATGTTGTTTATGACCTATGTCAGCATCGTAATCGAGGCTGCTGTTAATCAAGAAACTTAGAAATAAATCCATGTGGATTTCATTTTTGTCGATTGAACAAAACCTTGGTACTGTGCAATAGCAAATTGAGATAATTACTATGAATACCGAAATACCACTGGCCTACATTATGTCACAGACAAATTCACGGGATGTCGTCCCGCCAATCTCTGATGCTACTTTTCATTGTCAAACTGAAGTAAAGCGAACAAACAACGTGCTAACAAACAACGTGCTAAACATACGAGAATGCGGATGTGTAACAAGCGTCTTTACTGCCTCCCGGCTTACGGTGCAAGCCCCTGCGTGATTAATCAGAGACGCACCAGTCAGTCATGTCAGTCATTCCACATTTTGCCGCTCGCCGCCCACTGCGTTCTGTCTCAATACGCAATGAAGACTTACTCCACCGTTGCTGGGGCATGCTACATGCTGGTTTGCATGACCCCGACTCATGCCGTCGAACGCAAGTTGGTTCTAGGAGGAGACATCGTCCCAGCTGGCACCAAGACTTATACGACTGGTATTCGCAGAACTGCTAGCGGTAACAATGTCTGCGGTGGAACTCTAATTTCGCCGACTCATGTGATCACCGCGTCACACTGCGGCAGTAACTACGACATTCGCTGGGTGTCTGTGGGCTCGCACTACATCAACGGCACTATCGATGGCGAGCAGATCAAGGTCGTGTCCATCATGAACAGCCCCAACTACGAGTCCGGCCAATTTCCCAATGACTACGCTATTCTGGAGTTAGCGAAGCCCAGCTCCTTCAGGCCCGCTAAGCTTGCCGCTGCTGATGACTCGGATTATGCCCCGGGTAAGCCCGCAATGATGTTCGGATGGGGTTATACCGCAGATCCCGCAGCTAACGGCACTGTGTCCTACGAGCTTCGAGGCGTAGATCTCCCTCTGTGGGACGATGAAAACTGCACGAAGAAAATGGACACGGACAGCTCGATGATTTGTGCTGGAGGAATTGCGAACAAGGACTCGTGTGAACAGGACTCAGGCGGGCCGCTTATCCTTGAAACGGGATCGCAAGACGTTCTGATCGGTCTGTCGAGTTGGGGGCCATCACCTTGTGGCTATCCGGGTGCTCCTGGTGTGTATGCGCGCATCTCACACGCTCGTCCATGGATTGATTCCATCATCAACGGGACCTGTCTTGCCTAAGAGAGAGAGATGTTTTACTTCGGCTATGTTGAAGGGCTCTTCAGTAGCTTGCTCTAACATGGCAACAGTGATGTGCAAGCCTTCCGAAAAATACATTGAAGGGAAAATGTTACTGCAAAATTTGTACTGAATTATCTCCAAAGCCGCACTTCGCACAGAATTGCTCTGGATTCTATGCGACTAAAGCTTTGTTGTCGTCATGGACGTAAGGTACATGTAGTGCCCTCAGATAACTTACATTTACTCATCTCCGACTGACAGAAGTTCGTGCTTCGTGGAGCAAGCATACTAAGTCGAGTCATCGTCAATTTCACTCCCACGGTAGTTCAAACCAACAGCGGCTGTTAACACAAAGCTGCAAAAAAAAAAAAACCAACGGATTCAGTGAAAAATAAGTTAACCTCGACAAAGCGATCCGACATTGACAAAAAAAGCATAAACTACGATGGCTCGTTATAGAGTTTAATATGCTGAGTTGGAGAAAAGGGAGCGCATTTTCAATTGTAGAAAGCTTGTTAGGTCAAAAGCAACAGTATAATCCTATTTTATTACCGCTGCATTTGTTCTATCCTATTTAAGTGCTCGGACTTGGGGGCTGATCTGTGAATTTTGTGATGTCGGGAAACGCAGCGACTGGTCAAGCTTGAGCGACAGGATTATGCCTGTTGGTGAACACGCTGGTTGAGAAGATCAACGTGTTCGCCCACCCCCGGCAAAGCCAAGAGACGTGAAGGAGAAGACTGTGTGCTGTGCCGAAGTGTTGAGGACGCGACTGCGTCCGACCCCCGATGAGTGCGAAGAAGAGCCTCCAATACTACCATCAGGCCGAGAGACCCACACCCTGATCGCTAAGTGCTCCACGCATCGACGTATAGTCATTAGTCATGAGAACACGAGTTACGGCCGTCGATAAACGTAACATATCCCCCATTTACAGAAACATCCAGCGATGTGCTGCCTACGTCATGTATCTCCCGCCGGCTGAACTGTGGCGATTGATGGATGGTTGTCAACCCCGATGGATACACCAAATATCGGATAAACTACGAATGTTACACGAAAGTTCACTTAACTGTAATCTTTTCCGGATGGGTCAACCTTCATGGATAATATATATATCCAAAAGGTTAGTGTTTAAAACAAACCAATAGGTAGAGAACGGGAATATATATATCGTGTTGAGAAGTACTCCCTCCAGTCCGAAAGACAATGGTCACTGCAACGTTGGTGTGTCCACATAATTATAATAACTTCTTTATTGGACAAAATTAGACGTTTCAATTTGTTGGCTAGAAGCCATTAATTCAGTTGCCGGCGTGGACTGCGTCAAAACTCGCGCTAAAAATCTATTTTCTTCGACTGTCCTAGAACACACCCGTACCCAACATGCCCCACTCACCCAACGCCACGGATCTTCCTTTATCCGTGAGACTGGAGATCGTATTGTTTCTATCTGATATGAAAGCTTCCACAGGGAGATATATCGGACGCAGCAGCACGCTTCGTTTGCCACCGCAACACCGTGTACAACTGTGGTGTAGTCATTCCACTATTGCCGTCCAGCGGCGTAGCAACCGCGGTCGTCCCCCGCCTTAACCGACGGGGAGCTCGCGGCCAAGATTGAGGCGGAACCATTGGCCAGTCGTACCACGCTGCGTGGTTTTGTAGCTTCGACAGGGGTCGCACGCACCCAACTTTCTCGGGGCTTAAAAGAGAACAGCATCCTCAAGCGTGTTACCGTCGAGCCGAAACCGCTGCTGACGCCCGAGCAAATGGCAAAGCGCTGCGAGTTTGCTCGGTCAGTGTGAAGAAACTTTTTGGTAAATATTTTGAGGCCCGTCCCCGGTATGATTGTCACAAGCGCATGATTTTGACGGCAAGGTGGGAATTTGGCCTGTAGTGGAGACTAAGCTGGCCATTCGCAGCAGCAATTACCGACCGAAGGGCACTCCAGTCGCGACCCGATCGAGATGACGGGAGATGTATACGAGCCCATGCTGATGCAGAATGTCATTGACGCCATCAAGCGAGTTTCGCCAGGTAAGTATTTTTGCATTACTAGTGGCTGTTAATTTATTATTAATTTTATTATATTAACATAATTACGCTAATTTTTTTTGTTTATATTTGTGCAACAACCGAGGAGCATGTAATCATACAACAGGACAATGCCACTCCCCATCGTGCCTCAGATCGGCTGCAGCAGAAAGCAGTCGCAACAAGGGATGGTTGGTCGATTAAGATCATCAACCAGCCGCCGCAAAGCCCGGGCTTCAACGTCGCTGGTTCAACTCGTTGCAGTTCTTGCAGTACACAAAGCAGCTCCGCGATGTTGACGGGCTCATTAAAGGTGTTCGTGCTGCGTTTGAATAGATGGACGGTGCCACCACGAACAAGTGCTTTCTTCCGCTGCAAAGTGTACTCGAGGCGTCGATGCGTATTCGCGGTGGCAACTGTTACAACAATCCCCAATTAAAGAAGGACGCACTGATAAGAGCTGGAAATCTACCACGCTGTCTACCGTGTTCTGCTGAGGCTTTCCAGATGTCTCTCTAGAAGAAAACGTTAGTCTAGTAACGGTAATAATCAACTAATATTAGCTTCGTTCTGATTGGATAGTCTCCAACAGTGCTGTATGCTTTATGACCATTGACTTTCGGACCGGAGGGAGTATGAATAATCAAAGGATGACAACGTCGCTACAATCCCGGGTAGAACTCTGGATATTAAATGCAAAGATTAGATTATTTATAGAAGGCAATGTGTTTCCTAATCAGGAACGGATGGATCAACATCACGGATCATATAATTATCCTGGGACGTTTCAACTTCAAAACAGCAAACCCAAGTTCAATGTGTCAAAAAGTAAAGTCAAAATAACAACCTCGCAAAAATCAACATAATCAAATAAAATCTATTTTAACAGGAAATGGCCAAGTGCAGTGCTTGAATGGCTGGAAGCTTGAGTTTCGCATGTTTCGATGCCAAATCGAATCACTCTCTATTTGCCTCCAAGCCCCAAAGCCCTTCCTTCCACATTCTACGATGTTCTACGACGACACCACCATTATGCGCGGTCTCCAAACCACCCGTGCCGGCCAAAACGGGCGGACCTCGCATCCAAAGCACGACGTCAACCAGCGTACGGCATACCACTGGGTCAAAACTGTGGTGAAGCGCAAACAAGAGTTATTTTGACCCCATGCTGCCGGTCGAGAAGATCCGCCCAGATCAGGTGGGATACGAGCGATCGAGGGTCGTGGTGCCCGATCGCAGCGGGAGATGGACGCCAGTAGTGGGACACGAGCGGGGAGCAGCTGGATGATCGAGGAAGAGACGCAGACGGCTCGACGACGAAGGAACGGCCCGACACAGAAACGATCGCCACGACTGGATATGGCAGGGATCAAGTTTGGGACTGAGGCCTATGTGGTGTAACAGAACACACATATACCGTCAGATGTGTATTCCTTACACAAACCACAACATATTGCCGAGTTAGGTCGGCGCTTGTATGGCCTGCGCAGAGGGTTGTGCCCTCGCGGTTCGGCCCACCGGACAGGTTTGAGATCTCGCTATCGCCGAGTTCCGACTAACCAAGGCAGATCTTCCGCGGCTCAGTCGAGTTCGATTCGACTGTCATCGTGCACAAAATATTCTGAGCCCTCTACCAAAGGATGGACGTCGGCGCACGAGCGCCTTTACAGGTCACCGAGGAAAAGGCTACTCTGCTAGAGGTGTCACGGCACCCGGGCTGTACGGTGTACCGGCCCACCAAGCTCGGCGAGGCTTGTTCTCTCTTCGAGCTGAGCGAGACTTCTTATGCCCTTCCCGGGCCAACCTAATCTCTTGACGCTGCCAGTGGAGTATCCTACAAGTTATTCCTCTCGAGTATCAACGGTAGACTGTGCAGGGACTTACATGAGGAGTGAACGAGTGTCTTTGACTAGGAAAATTCTGCTCTGTTATATGCTATCTTTCGGGGGGGGGGGGCTTTTGAGCTCCTCCTACCTTCTCCTATGCTTCCTTTAGCTGAGCTTGGCGACCGTTGCACCCAGCGGCAATCCGGATAATGGTACTCGAACGAACCGCTGGGTCCGTAACGTGACCCATAGCTCCTAAGCCGTTTCTGGCTGTTGTTTAATACAAATGTGGGCAGAAGGTGAAAATCCCTACATCATAACTACAGGACCGACGATACGTAGGAGGCTACCGATGGCTGAAGACCAAGGACTATTGCAGTGGACTAAGACGCGATTTGACCCGGGAGGGATGTTTTATTTAGATTATAATCGTCCTGCACCGTCGAGGGACCGCCGATCTCGCTCGACCGATCGACGATGACGGAGGACACCGAAGATAATCGAGAGAGAAGACCTACTGACCAAGGGTGAACGCTTTCAACATCGACCACCCCTCTCCGGTGGAGCGATCAAGGTATTGCTATGGTTGAATATGATCATTTTTCCGACATCACTAGAAGTTTGTATAAAGTGTAGCAGCCAATAGAATTCAACTTGCGAGTTTTAAACCAATCATTCGACGTTATCAATGAAATTTTATCCAATAGTATAGCCAGGAAAATGGCAAGTCATGTACACCAGCCGTTCCGACGTATCGTGTCGGAATGCCCCGCAACATATCTATACCTCCTTGCAATAAGCAAGTGAAAAGCAT